GTAGAAATACCCTGACTATGGAGCTCGCAACTCATTTTTCCCCACGTCAGATTCTGGTGACCACGAACCCAACGGAGGTCAGAGGACGTCCGTGAAAAATAGAAAGGAGGCAAAGAAGGAGCTACTTTGTGCACATGTGTTTTCCGATATCTGCAACCCCAAGGCCGAAGGACATACCGGTTCTCCTTCACCACGGAGCCTGGACGCTAAGTCTTGCGCGGTTACCACTTCAACACTGCCGTCATTGCTTCCAGACACAGAATCATGTGGGCCACCACAAGAGCGCTCAGAATCATCAACCTCATCAGCTGTGACTTTCACAGGGACACGCTCACAAATAAAAATTTTCCAGTGCTTTCGCTTGCCATACGAAGGCTTGTTGCGACCCATAGCTTCAAGGCTGGTGGAAACACGAAACACGCAGACCTATACAGAAGCGACAAATCCGAGGGAAAGCAGTGCTCAACTGACGGACGGACAGGCAGACTGTAAGCGAATGAAAGCGCGGAGGAACACCGATAACTACTTCATGTCTTTAAACCGACGGATCGGGATGAAGGGACAGCGAGCGTGATCTCGCAAAATAAAAAAACATCTAAAAAATAAAGAAAAAAAAGCACCAACGCCTTGCTTCAAGTAATGGATAAACTTACATCAAAATTGTTTTATATCAATCGGTTCTGCATTAAATTTTGAAGGGATTAATTGAAAGATTTGACATACTTTTTATTCGGTAGATTTTGTAAAGGATGTTGACTATTTTCACGATTTTTTTTTTAATATAATTAAACCTGTGGTTAGAAATTTGTCATGGTTAAGCCCTCGATACGCTGTCAATGTCTTGAGAAAAGAATACAGAAAGATACATAGAATGTCTATCACGTGAGAATGTTTTTAAAACGGTGAAAAACTGCTTGGAGGTGCACTCCCTCTTAACAGCGTTGCATAGACATTTGGGCTCTGCCAACCTTATAAAATGAAAAAAGTCTATTTTGAAGTGATGACAAGTTCAGCTCCCATGTTGTTCCTTTTGTTAGAATCTGGTTTCAGGTGAAGAGACCCACCAAATGGTGACAGTCTAACTAAACATGTTAACCCAGAGACACAAAGAAATATAGATTGAGATTGCACACACATCTGATCCTTTAGGACACAGGTGAACAAAGCTTCAATCCTTATGAGTCCTGTAACTGCTTCTAAAAACTTCCAAGGACTGTACAATACGTTTTTCGGTTCTTTTGACATAATCTCAGCATACCTTAGGGAAATGGAAATTCAAGAGGAGATCCAATCCTCAGCAAACGTGCCTCCTGGAAGCAGTGTAAAGACCCCAAGCTGCATTCATACATCACTCGTCATGGAGTTAGAGGTCTGCACGGGCCGATATTTAGAAGCCCAGCCCGGCCCGTTTTGACGGCAATTTTCACAAGCACGCTGAGGCCCGCTCTATTTTCACCCAATATGAATAGCTCATAAATTGCGAGGCAGTTTGCTTGCCACTGCCAGACATGTTGACTATGGTACCCGCCAATACAGTAGGCATCCTTTCTCCTTTTTTTTTTGGGCTGCTTTTATTAGTCAGACCACACTGTAAGCACAGGCAGCTCACTAAAAAAAAAAAGAAATCGCCCCCATCATTTTTTGTTTTTTGCGACCAAACCCGCATGGGAAAAATAAAAATGGCAAACGACAGTAAACAAAACCATGTGACAAGGTTGAAAAGGAAGGAAAACGTTGAGATGGATTCAGACAAAATACCGGCAAAGTTCTAAATTGCCCACTCCTGCTGTGCACAACTGAAAAAAAAAAAAAAAAATATTGCTATCTTTTGCGGTTGTCTGTGAGAAATTGTTTAGAAAACGCACCCTATAGGAACCTCTTCACTCATAATGTGGATGCAGGCACTCGTACGTACAGATGGTCTATGCCTGCGAGGGTGCGCACTGTGTAGGCGCAAATGTGTGCGTGTGGAAGGGGAGAAGCGACTGTACTATGGTGGCGGCACCACCAGCGACGAAAATGAACGCCACCAACTGGTGCTCTGGAAGAGCATTCGGTTCACACAAACTGAACCGTACAAACACAGATACACACACACACATGTTTTCAACATTTGGATCTCCCCAACTGTAGTCACCCCCCCCAAACACACTTCCAACAAAACACTGCTGCTCAGAAAAAAAAGTAACGGCCGTCTTGACTTGCTTGGTGGACTTGAATGCAAGTCCCGTGCCCAACCCGGGCTCTAAATGAATGTGGCCGTGAAGGCCGAGCCCAACACGCGGGCCAGGCCAGCCCGTGCAGACCTATACTTGGAGTCACCAGCTAGTGAGCACACTTACGCTGCATGTAGGCAAAATGATATGCTGCATTTAGGCGAAATGATAGAGACACATTGTTGTGTTATGTTCTCTCAGCGAGCACACCTAATACTTACTACCTCACACTCGAAATGCTTCCTTTGCACAAACTTGGCCTCTCTCCAGGGCTCTAAAGATAGTAACTTGCATTAGTGTAGAGTATACTTTGAACTCCAAATTTTTTCTAACAGCCCAGCAGCAATGGAGGCAGTTAAAGCGACCAGTGTGTGTACCACCAGTCACGGCTTGTGGTTTGGGCGCCGTGGGACCCGGGAAGGCAGGGAGCCAGCCTTTTGGGGGGAAAGCGTTTTATTCCGGTTCGAAGTCGTGCTTGCACCAGCTCCAGCGCACCGCGTTCCTTTTCTCTCCTCGCGCACCGTCTCCAGCCTCGGTCCTTTCGTCGTCACTTCGTCTTTTTCTCGTCGCACCAATCAGCGCACACCACGGGTAACAAAAATATAACAATCACAAAGCACGATAACCCGTCGGCGACGGCGTGCATGCCACATGCATGACACGCCCCCCCCCCCCCTTTTTTTTTTTCTTTTCCAATAAAAAAATCACAATTTGTGTATTCCTTTACAATCGTAACATTTAGAACAAAAGAAAACGAACTGCGCGCACATTCCCATCCATTCGGCGTGAATGATCACTAGAAAGACTGACAAACTTCTTGAGAACATCTAAAGTACATTAACCACAAACAAAACTCCACCCGGCTACAGCCTTGACAACGCATCAGCAGGGACATTTCTCGTCCCTTTTACGTACTGGACATTCAGGTTAAATTTTTGCAACGCTAGCACCCAACGAGTCAGCCTCGCACTATTTGGTGCTGCTGACGCCAAATACTGCAAAGGGTTATGGTCGGTGCGAATTTCGACCTCCGCCCCAAATAGCCACGTTTCCAACTGACCCAAGGCCCACACAATCGCGTAAGCTTCGCGTTCGATTACAGCCCACCTGGTTTGGGGATCAGTTAGTTTTTTACTGAGAAACGCCACCGGGTACTCTTTCCCATCACCTGCCCTTTGGGCAAGACATGCCTCTATAGCTCTATCCAATGCGTCGGTGGACAGAACAAAAGGCTGGCTGGCATCTGGCGCTCTCATGACTGGGACTTCCATCAGGAGACACTTTGCCTTTTGAAACGCTTGTTCCTCCTCTTCACCCCACTCTAACACGTTCGGAGTCCTGTCTCCAGTTCGCGCGGTCAACGGCAACACCACTTCAGCATAGTTCGCAATGTAGTCTCTATAGTAGTTCCTTAGCCCTAAAAAGCTCTTCAGTTCTTTCTTCGTCTTTGGCCTCTCCATAATCTGAATCGCCTTGATACGAACGGGGTCAGGAGCATGCCTCCCAGAGCCGATCTGGTGGCCGAGGTACATGACCATTCCCTGGGCAAACCTGCATTTGGACAGCTTCACCGCAATCCCCACGCGACTTAAGGTTTCGAGAACGCTTTTTACATGCAAAAGGTGGTCTTCCCACTTAGAAGAATATATTGCAATGTCATCGATATATGCGCCTGCATATTCTCTGTGTGGTCGCAACACTTCATTCATCACGCGCTGAAAAGTTGCCGCTGAATTTTTCAACCCATAGGGCATAACTTTCCATGCGTACTGCCCACGATTGGTTACGAATGCTGTGAACTTCTGAGACCGTTCTTCGACTGGTATTTGCCAATACCCACGGGTTAGGTCCAGTACTGTTATGTACGACGCCTTCGCGACCATCCAGATCATTTCGGTAGCATTATTCATTGGAAAGGCATCGACTTCAGTGATCGCGTTTAATTGCCTATAATCGATGCACAATCTCACACTCCCATCCTTCTTCGCTACACACACTACCGGATGAGCAAACTCTGATTCAACTGGATAGATCATACTCCATTCTAGAAGCTGTTCTATCTGCCTTTCAACCTCAGCTCTCATTTTTATCGGCACTCTACAAGCACATCTCTTCTTTTGTTGCGAACCTTCAACAAGTCTTATCTTGTGCAGTCCTTTTGCACACTTTCCTGGGTGCTTAGAAAAGACATGTACGAACTGCTGTACCATGCTGTACATGTCTTTTCATTATATGACCATATGGCATAAAAACCGTGCCTTTGTAGTGCCGCAGACTAAGCTATCATGGGTGCAATTCTAACACTTGCCAGTTTCTATGTGGATAGACATTGCAGTGGCGTGCATTTGTGTAATCCCTATGTATATGGTGCACATTAAGAAATCTAAGTGAGTAGTCATACTCTACCAGACAAGTTGTACCCTCTTAGGCAGAGTGTAGCAGATGCAAGTTGCTGTATTCACGATCAGATCCACTTTGTGCAGTACAAAGATCCATACAAAAGTTTTTATCTTTTGATGCTGAGCATATGCTAACAATGAGCTTCCAAAACGCTTTTTCTATACTTACCTTTCATCCAATTATGCTTGTCATCTCTAGCAAAACATAGGTAGAAGCTCACTGTTAGCGCGTTTAGCAGAAACGAGTGCACTTCATATGGACGGATCGCTTGAAAGCAAGTAGCACTCAAGATCGTCCGACGGACCTTCAGGTTTGTGGTACGGCCAATTCATGTAAACGCCCGAAGCCACGTGCGAATACACATTGGGATAGTTTTTCGCTTACCACATTAATGTCGGCATGGATCTGCCGCAGTTCCTCGACGTGGGCCATCTTTTCCTGAAGCAGTAGCTCCATTTCGTGGCGATACTCTTGAAGACATCGCTCCTCGTTCTCTGTGGACTCGATTTCGTGCCTGAGCCGCGACTTGAGCTTTTCCATCTGAACCGTACGTGCTCTGGAATTTTAGAATACAAACAAAAAATCGCATTTTTTCCCGCATTATCCCAGCTTTCTTGTGGCTTGAGCGTAGCAGAATCAAAATGACAGTACCTGATTTCTTTCAAGCACTCTAACTTGCCCATGATTGCGGCTTCATCAGTCATGGCCTTTCGGGTGCTTGATTATGAAGAGTGCAAAACAGATGAATGCGAGATTTTTGTGAACTACAACTGAAAAGAGCACCATAAACGAGCAAATACACTAACAACGCGGTGATTATTTACCGCACTTGCTTGGCCTGATCATGAACGCTTCGCGTTCGGTCAGCCACGAGCACAGTGTTTGGAGCGGTTTGGAGCTTCACGCTTCACGGCTTTGGCGGCTTTGGCTGACTTCGTTTACTTCGCCTTCAAAAGCGCAAAAAAGGTCGAAAAAGATGATGATGATAATAATGATCACGTTGCTTTCAGATATTTCTTGTGCTCAACATCTCAAACAGTAAATTACATCATTTATTTCTCTCTTGAGATTATAAAAGTGGCCAACTGGCGTAACATATTACCAATATTACTCCAAGCCAAAAGTAATGTAATGCATCTGCGCAGGGGGGGGAAGGAGGGAAAGGGAACGCGGCGCAAAGCGGAGGCTGCCATATTAAAACCGCTTACGTTGCCAGCATAGGTTTCGCAGTGGAGAAGTTGCTGCCATATACGGCGGACGAAGTTTTACTTTCTTTTTTGTTTTGGAAAGAATGTATTGTTGTGTTATATAAGTCCTCCTGCATACTAACAACGAAGTTTAATTATATTTGTCTTGTTTACTCGGCTTGAAACCCTAAAAACAGGTTTTGGCAACTTATTGCTTCCATCATTTTGGAGTACGCAGGCAGTTATCTCGCTGTTCTGGTTTCGGTTACGAAAGCAAGGCAAAACGCCTGTAGTTCCCGCCCTCAGTACACTTGGACACCTTCCACACTTTGACACCGGATAACTAGATTGTGGCGACGCACAATCACCAGCATTTTGGCGCTATAAAACCTCGTCGTCGTCTGCTTCAGGGAAGCACGGCCGCCCGCTACACAGTCACGCGGGACAGAGGAACGTCCGTCGACCGACGCCGCCGAGGCAATAAAACCGCCGTTCCTTTTCTATGTCGGGATTCGCTCGTCACCACGACGCAGCATCCCCCAAGATGAACAAGGATTTAGATTTGCTTCAGAGGTCCCTTTCGCCGCTTCCTCACCGTCGAGCAGCCGGATCAGCTGACGGCAAGCCGCGGATGAAAGGCTTCAGCATCAACAGCCTAGAGCCACTACAACAGCCCAAGTGCACTCTCACGATGCGGGCGACGCGGGCTTCTGTCAATCCAGGGGCAGACCCAAGGGGGAGGCGGGAGGCGACGGGGGCGGCCGCCTACCCCCCAAACAGTCGACCCCCCCGCCCCCTTCTTGGAGGGCGATTTGACATGGGTGGATTCCCCGAAATAAAACCAACTCCCGCCCTGCCAGGTGGTAGGAAGCTCGGTACTCAAGGACGAGGGTTCGAAATAGGGTAGGCCGCACCCTAGCAGGCGCACATACTTGGAGAACCACTCCGTCGCTTAGACTGAAGTCCGCGGCGGCGGTTTCAAAGCACGGCAGAAGTTAGAACCAAAAGTCGACGCAGCGGCGCACATCTAGGGGCCGTCGGCGCAGTGTGGTTCTGCGGCGGTTAAAACAAAAGGCGCAACCGGAGTCCTGTTTATCTTGCTTTAGAGTTTAGATTTTCCCTCCCCCCTCGCCCCCCCCCCCCCCCCCCAAAAAAAAAAAAAAAAAAAAACGAAAAAAAAACGGAGTTCTTGATCCGCCCCTGGGTCAACCGGTAGCCCAGCACAAACCGCGTGAACGTTCCAGCTCTTCGTCATGTCACGCTGTTGCAGAAAGCAGGGTGAAATACAACTACACGGACCACCGAATCAAATGCACTGTAAAGGCCCGTTCACACTCTTGTGACCGAGTACGACTGAGAGAGACGAGATCTCTTACAACTTCCTAAATGTTTTTAGAATGAGGGAACACACTGACATTGTGGCGCCATCTATGCGGCGACCCTAGAACTGCATTTCACAAAAGCGAAGGTTTTGCGGGATTTCCAAGGTCAAATGTGCGTAATACCCATAGAAAGGCTCGTTTATAACACTGACAAAAGTTTTTCGAGCCAAAAAAGAAAGGATATTGCGCGAGAAATAATAAAAAAAAATATGCCGGACCGCCGAGTTTACACTGCTTCCCAATAGATGGCGCCAGTGTGTTCTCTGGTTTAAGAAGTTTTAAGGAACCCAGGTTTAAGAGGTCGCAAGCAGTCGCAAGAGTGTGAACGGGCCTTTATCGTAAATATTGGCTTGTGATTGCGCCTTTGTAGATCATCTTATTCGTTTTGCTGGAGACGCAACCGACGAGCATAACAAAATCGTTTGCGTATTCCGCATACCTCGCAAAAGCACTTACCTTGCGAAAAGCGCGAAACACGGAGTCCGCACCGCCCTGACTCACCAGACTTTTATTTACTTTAGAGCAGTTTGTACCTGCTAGTAGGTATGTCTAGTGAAACTGCAACTTGAAACTAGGGGCAATGCCAGAGAGAAAAGTGACGAAGTTGAGAAAGCATGTTCGCTCTCTCCAATTTCTGAACTCTCAAGTGATTGTACCATAATAAATTCATCAACACCTTTTTCCAAAATAAAGAAAAAACGCTACGTTCACTACGTAAAAAATGGTCTCAGTTCATGCATCCGTAGGCAGGTAGGAAACGTTGCCCTAATTTATTCACACCGCATGACGAGCGCAACCAATTCACACGAGATTTACAAGAAAATATCAGTGGTGACTTCTGTTTCTCTGAAATTCTGTATGACCGGTCGTTTGCAGGACCGAATCATCTACTCGGGCGGTGTGCGTCGCTGTGCAAACGCCGACAACACGAAGCATAACAACGGCAGGTCTAGGTCAAGAATCCGTAGCCCATTGTTCAATTAAAACGACGTAATTTTGTTGAAAACGCCCGCAGCTTTTTACTCACGGCATGCGTCGAGAATCTTCCACATTTTGAAACGGAACGAAGGATGATTTACTTTTAAAAGCGCTCGCTGCGTCCTCCCGGACCAGTTGGACCGGATCAGCTGACGACGACGACGGAACTGAACCCGTTGAATTTTAACGCCACAATAACCAATTTGCGCTTCGTGTTAGTATGGGATTCTACCTCCAAGCACCGCACGACACAGCACGAACGTTTCAACTCTTTGTCGCATCGCCGTGTTTCACCAGAACAAGATCGCCGAAGTCAACGGAGCGCTGTCGTGAACCTTGGCTTGTGGTTGCGCACTCGTGGACCCTGTGACTCCCTTCGCTTTCTAAGCACGCACGACGATTACGAATGATACTTTCCGTCTTCCGGGACCATCACAAGGGCACTTCTCCGGTCACGTCTTCGCTACATGAGCTGGCAAACCGCGTCAAACGTGGTCAAACCGAAGCGCCGAAGCAATACCGGCGCCATGTTGGATGGATGGATGGATGGATGTTAATGGCTATTCCCTTTGTAACGGGCGGTAGCTTGCGCCACCTAGCCTAAGTCTAAAAAGACAAAAACGTGATTCCTCCCGCCCTTTTAAGACCAATTTTTGTCCCCCCAACTATCACCAGGCAGTGTGGGATATCACCAGGATGACCTTCGGGGGATCGGGCAAAAAAACTAAAAAACATCACCCCCCTGCCTCTTCCCCCCGGCGAGGGAGTCGCCAATTTTCCTCTGGTCAAACCTTTTCGGCGTTACCCCAGCACCGGACCCACTGGGAGACAGGGTTGAGACTTTGGGCCGGAGCCACGCGGGAGGGAGTCCCAATTTTCCTCTGTCCCGCCTGCTCCCAGCTGTGCTAGTTAGTTTTCCATCATTTAATTTTCCCTAGATAATTTCCACCAATCTTCTAATCGTCTCTTTGTCACTGTAATCTGTTTTTCTACCATCCCTCCATCGGGGAGGCACTCACTTGATCGAATGACGTTTTAGCGAACGCCCACGTTTCACCGAATGACACTTTAGCGAATAGTCGGACGCCGCGAAGCGGCGTTTTCGGGTGGGCCAAATGAGTTCATATTTTTGTAATGAGTTGCCGCAGACTGTCGCCGCGAAGCGGCGTAAAGCGCAGCGCGACGGATGGGTTAACGCGCGCCCCCGTTATTCGCTAAAACGACCATTCGCTCAAATGTCGCCGTTCGCTAAAATGTCATTCGCTCTTGTGATATGGACCCCCCTCCATCGTCGCCAGTGAAACCCAGGGCCCCGGCCAAATCCGTTACCCCTTCAGGGAGGGCAGGACGAAGCCTCGTGCACTTCAAAACCAAGTGCTCCAGTGTCTCGCTATCATTATGGCAGGCGGCACATAATGTGTCGGTCTCCTGAAATTTAGCCCTATACGTCTTTGTCCTCAAAACTCCCGTTCTTGCCTCGAACAGCAAAGCACTTCCCAGTGAATTGTCAAATAGCTTTTCCTTTCTTATCTCCTGCTTTCGTGACCTGTACACTGCTAAAGCTGATTTCTCCTGCATTCTCCCCTCCCAAATTTCCCTCTCCGCCTCTTTCACCTTCTTTTTCACTGACGTAGTCTGTTCAGCCCCATCACCAGTGTGTAGATATTTAAATGTAAGCTTTCGGGTTCGGTTTGTCCATTTTGTGTTTAAACTTTTCATGTATAAATACTTGAATACCTTACGTGCCCACCGCGTATCCTCCATTTCAGTCAACCTTTCTTCAAATTTCAACTTACTAATTGCCTCCCTGCTCTCAAAAGACGACCATCCCATGTCCCCCTGTACTCCCTCATTTGGTGTTTTTCCATGTGCTCCCAGCGCCAATCTGCCTACGCTTCTTTGTCGAATTTCTAGCCCTGATTGAACCTCAGATTTCATGCACAGCACTGCATTGCCAAATGACAGTCCTGGCACCATCACTCCCTTCCATATACCTCTGACCACTTCATATCTGTTATAGTTCCATAGTGCCTTGAGCTTCATAATAGATGAATTTCTTTTCCCTTTTCTAATTGTATTCTCCTCGTGTTCCTCCAGATATTTCCTTCCTTCATTGAGCCAGACCCCTAGATATTTGTACTTTTCTACGTGTTCTATCACTGTGTCCTGTATCTCCAGGGGTCCCCCCTTCTCATCGTTGAAAACTATTATACCCGACTTGTCCCTACTGAATTTTAGTCCTAAACTGTCCCCTTCCCTGCTGCAAATCCTAATCAGTTCCTGTATTGTCTCACGGCTTTCTGATACGAGTACAATGTCGTCTGCATACATTAACCCTGGCAATAGTTGATTTACCTTATGTCCTTCCTCCATGTAATTCAGGTCAAAACCTAGGTTGCACTGT